GGGTGACAGAGTGAGACTCCGTCTCAATAAAAAGAAAAAGAAAACATGCAGGTTTTTTTTTTAAGTGGTTTCATTATTTCTTACCGGCTTTGTTTAACACTCATCCTTTTGAGCCTGAAGATCAAAAGTTGAAGTAGATAAACTTTTTTTTTTTTTAAGAGATAGGGTCTGGCTCTTTCACTCAGGCTGGAGTGTAGTGGTGTGATCTCGGCTCACTGCAGCCTCCGCCTCCCATCCCGGGTAGCTGGGACTATAGGCGCAAGCTACCACGCCGGGGTTATTTTTGTATTTTTTGTAGAGTCTGGGTTTCACCTTGTTGTCCAGGCTAGTCTAGAACTCCTGGGTTCAAGCACTCCACCCACCTAGGCCTCCCAAAATGTTGGGATTACAGGCGTGAGCCACAGGGCGTAGTCAACTTGAAGATAAAAGACTGCTCAAAGGTGGTTTAACCGTGGCTATCATAACCAATCATTAGAGGGCACTGTGTGGGAGAAAACTGCTTCTGGATGCTGCAGTTGAGGATTCATCTCATAGTTAGCTTTAGAAGCTAGGATCAGTTTGCCTCGATAACATTTTAGCAAAAACGTCTTTGCAAATTATTCAAATTACCATGGCATTTTTAAAAGTTATTTTTTGAGACAAAATCTCTGTTGACCAGGCTGGAATACAGTGGCGTGATCTCAGCTCACTGCAACCTCTGCCTCTCAGATTCAAGCTATTTTTGTGCCTCAGCCTCCCGAGTAGCTGGGATTAGAGGTGTGTACCACCACACATGGCTTATTTTTGTAGTTTTATTAGAGACAAGGTTTCGCCTTGTTGGCCCGGCTGGTCTCGAATTCCCGGCCTCAAAGGATCCACCCACCTCTGCCTCCCAAAGTGCTAGGATTACAGGCATGAGCTACCAAGCCCGGCAACCATGGTATATTTCTTACAGCCTTCCCCACTAACCCCTCCCCTCATAGCCATCACAAAACAAAACTTACACAGTTCACATACCAGTTTCTGTGGAAAACATCACCAGCCTAAGTTAGTTGTTATTCTGTGTTTCCATAGTTCTTTAGGGATAATAGGTATTAGAGTTCAGAAACACAGGGTACAATATGTGAATTTTAAGTTTGCTGCTTTGCCCATCCCTCATTAGACTCAGTGAGGGCAAATATATGATTTTACTCTGTTCACTTCCTTGGTACCTGGAAGTCTAATCATAAGAATGTAATCTCTGAAGTTAGACCTAGGTCATTGGTACTTTTTTGTATGACATTGATTAAGCAAATAACTTAACATCAGTTTCCTTATCTGTAAAATGGAAATGATGATAATAACTTCATAATGATATGAATCTTTTAGTGGTTGATATGTGGTAGAACTTATTGTTAGTCACTATTATTAATGGCTAAGTAAATGGATCAGGCTAGAGTCTAAGTTTAAAGATAATACCTTTATCTGACTCCTCCAACAAACTGTTCTCACAAGGAGCATGAATGTGGTAGAATCAGCCCCAAACAAGACCTATGTAAAACAAAACAAAACAAAAAAACAGTGTCAGTCTGGATAATACACAGTTAGGTTCAGTGATCAGAACAAGGTTTTACTTTGTACGAACTCCTGCCATGGGATAGAACTAAAACATGAAAAGTAACTGCCACAAAAACACTGTTGATCCTTTTGCTGATGTTTCACTATCACTGTAAGATTTTAAAGTATGAGTACCCTTCAAAAGTATTTTATTTTCAACAGGTTGTAATAGCTCATAACCTTATAACTTGCATGCGATGAAAATTCTCACGGCTTTTTAAATATAATATTTATACTTCTATGAAGGAAGTATTTTATTCTTCTTCTTCTAAAAATTTGCAGAGTAGTTAAGTACCAAAAATAGGGTCTTGTATGTGGTATAGACTCAATAAATATGTTGAAAGAATGAGTGATTGACTTGTCAAGGTCAAAGAACTAGCAATTAGTGAAACAGGGATTCAGATCTGGCTTTATGACTCCCAAGCAGATTAAAGCCATAAATATTATTCTTGCCAACTTACCCTCTTCCACAGCTATCCGGAATTGTAGAACTAGACAAAGTTGGTGTTCCAAAGTAGTCTGGCAGTCAAACTGGTCCTGGCAAACCTGTTTGTAAAGTTATTACACAAGTCTGCCAGTCAAGATCAAGAAACATATATGAGGAATTGCATAAAGGCAAGCACTAAAAATATTAAACATATGCATAGATTTATATGTAAAGATAAAGAAAGATCTATGTGCTAATCAAGACTTCTGGAACTCTGAGCTCCTTAGCCTAGCATTTGAAGCCCTCCATAATGTAGGTCTTTAATATTGTTAAGGTTTTCTCTGTCACAGACTCTTCTTTACATCCCCTTAGACTTCTTCCTCATTGCTTTCTACACATTTCTTAATATTCCCCCATCTTCATTTCTGTTCAAATTATTCTAGGTCTGAAATAATCTTCCGTATCTACTTACCAAATTATTATCAATTTTTATTCATAGTACTTCAAAGTGTTCTCCCTTCTCCACAATCTTAACTTCTGTTTGATGTTTTTCTCTAGAGCCTCTCTGAGGTCAGTGATTTCTGTCTTTTATTCCAGTATTATTACAAATACTAGAAATCAAATAATTATAGAGTGAATGAATGAGTGGTAAACTTCTAGCAGGCAGGAGTCTTGTTCACCTAGTGTTGCCCAGCAGACCAGCCTTTTGGGAGGTAGGATGCTCAGGTTTGAAGAACATAGAATGAAATATAGGTTAGGAACTGGGTTCCACCTCTTTGTAGCTTGATGACCAGGGGCAGTTACTTAACCTGTCAGAAGTAGAATTTTGTGAGTAAAATGAAACCTCAGATAGGCTAAAAAAAAAAAAAGATCATCAGTAGTTTTTTATATGCAATTCAGAATATGCAGAAGTATTTTTTAAGTCTTTATACAGTTGAATTGAATCACCTTCTAGTGTGCTACTTTCCAAGGGATATCCTGATAATCAGTTATAAAAACATATGGTCTAGAATTCAGGGCATCCACACATGAAACAAAGCAAACTGTATAAGACGAGCTATAATTGTTAAATAAAATATGTGATAGGAATTCAGAGGAGAAGAGAAGGTCATTAGTAAATGCAAATAGAGGCCTGAAAGGTGATCTGAAAGTTGTGCAGTATTTGGAAGGGAGCAAAGGAAAGAAGGATGAGAACAGTATGAACAAAGATTGTAGTGAGCATGTTTTTGACATGAGGGCATGTCAGCCAAGCTCTAGAGAAAAAGGCACATTTTGTAGAATAGTCGGAAAATAGATATACCTATGGAAGGCCTTGAAACTTCAATAAGTCTTTCCACCATTACTTGCCACTTCTGTCCCCAAATTCATTGTATATATATATAAAACATTGACTCCATCTATTGTTTGGGCCTCATTTCCCAGTAGACTTCTCTCACACAGCCTTTGTTATAGTCTCATTGAGCTTTTTACTGTTTCCTGAACATGGTCATTTTTCTGTCCTTCCCACCTTTAATGTCTCATCAGCATTTGGTGTAATTGATCCTGCCCTCCTATTTGAAACAGTCATTTCTTTGGCTCCCTTATACTATAGTTTCTTGATTTTTCTCTTCTCTCACTGATGATTTATCACTCTTCTTTAAACTGACTCATTCTCCTCTGCTTGACTTCAAATGACTGAAATGCCCCAGGGTTCCATCTTGGCCTCTCTTTTCTCGATGTCACTTATTTTTTCTAGGTGATTTGTTTTGGCCACAAAGTCTAAAAACTGGCTATATGCTACTGACGCTCCTGCTCTGGGTTATCTTACTTGACCTTGACTCTTGTATTCAACTGTACATGACATTTTTTTCCAAAATGTCTAATAGACATCTCAAAACATCTTGATACACATCTCAAACTTGGAACCAAAACTTCTCTCTCAATTTCTTCACCTCACCTGCCACCACTCCACTTTTTCTTGTTAAATGTAATTCCATTCTTCTATTTACTAACGCCAGAAATCTTGGGGTTATATTTTTCTCTCATATCCATCAGTAAGTGGTCTAACTTCTACCTCTAAAATATATTCTGAACTTTACATCTTTTCATCTCTTCCTCTACCACCCTACTCCAAGCTACCATCACTTTTTTTTGGTGCCAGACTTTCACTCTTGTCCCCAGGCTGGAGTGCAATGGCATGATCTCAGCTCACTGCCACCTCCCTTCCCCCCACCTCCAGTTCACTCGATTCTCCTGCTTCAGCCTTCCTAGTAGCTGGGTTACAGGCCTACACCACCACACCCAGCTAATCTTTTATATTTTTAGTAGAGACGGGATTTCACTATATTGGCCAGACTGGTCTTGAACTTCTGACCTTGTGATCCGTCTGCCTCAGCCAGCTACCATCACTTCTTTCCTGAACCAACCTCCTATCTGTTCTCTTTCCTCCAGTCTTTGCTCTCTGTAGCCAGAGCAGCCAGAATAATCTTGTGTAAGTGTAAATGTAAGTCAGATCTTACCAGTTCCCTTTATAAAATGTTCCAGGGGTGGGCTGGGCATGGTAGCTCACTCCTATAATCGCAGCATTTTGGGAGGCCGAGGCGAATGGATTGGAGTTCAAGACCAGCCTGACAAACATGGTGAAACCTACACCTGACTGAACCAGAGTCTTTGAGTATACATTTTAGTAACATATTTGGATGTAACTGACAGTTTTGTTGGAGGAGATACATATGCAGATATTATGAGTTAGCATATGACTTGTAGAAATTTCTTAAGTGTACAAATCATTTAGACTTGAAATTTAAAAACACCTTGGTAGAGAAAGAGTTAACAGGTTAGTTCCCCTTGGCTGTTCTCAGTGTGTTCTCTTGCCTTTAGGAGCTGAAAATATGATAACATTGGGCCCGGACATGCCTGTGTGGAGGTTAGGGTACTCCTGGGGTTTTTGCAGCTAGCTGTAAAGCAAGCTAGAACTTGTTCATCTCTAAGTTCCTTGTTTTTCTTTCAACCCTTTCAGTGCCCTGCAGGAGTCATTAAATCAAAACTTCATGCTGATCATCACCCACCGAGAAGTCCAGCGGGAGTACAACCTGAACTTCTCAGGAAGCAGTACTATTCAAGAGGTGAGTTATGTCTCACAGCTAAGAAATAAAGGTAGCTCATTATAGCTAATGTTGACCCTGTTAAAGAGGGCTTATCTGTTCTGGTTGGAAATTCTCTTTATGTTTCATTATTGCATTCTTAAATTTTAATTAACTGGAGCATCAATGATTACTGTAGATATACTAAATGACTTGACCTAGAAAGAAAGATGTAAATGGGAACTCTAGATAATTTTTAAACTAGTCAACTTGAAACACTGCTTAAACATAAATGATTATTATGTAATATATTTCATGGTTTTATAGTAATTATTCAAAATACTAATTTGGAAATTGTTGACAACATTCATTCTGGAGGATCCTTTATTTTATTTGAAAGTTCGCTCTCAAATATTTATTTATATTGCATACCCTGTTTCTAAAAGGAATTTGAGCAGCTCAATCCTAGCCTTGAGCAGTATTCCTAAAATGCTGCTGGAGGCTATCTTATAGTGTCAGTATTTTCTTCAACATGACCAACTGGGGCCACTCTTTCAAAAGAGAACCAACCCCAAGAGAGAAGTGGTACCTTCTTAGTATGCCTTGGGCCCCACCCACCTAAAGCTAGTAATTTTTCTCTATGGAGGGTGAGGGGAGCATTTAAGGCTATGACAGCACTTGTGTTTACAAACATTAAAATGATGACTATGTCATATTACAACTTATAAGTTATGAAAGCCAGTCATTTGTCTACTAATTTCTCTAAAGAGAATTAATAATCCTTAATTTTGGATTATTTTATAATTTTTTTCTTAAGACTACATTGCTTAAAATAATCAATGTCATTTTGAAAGAACAAGTCATTTTCACCCTAGTGTTTTCTTTCAGAAGTATATGAATTGTTTCTGTAGACTGTTAATAGTTTTATTTTTTTATATTGTGTCACTGAATTTCAGCTTCTGAATTTGATGTAAATAACTCATTGCTTTCAGTTTATTTTCTTTGATTACTTGAATAGTTTGTTGACTAGCAGCAAAAGTCTTTAAATCTTTTTCTGATCTGATTCCTAAACTGAATCATAGGTTTGCGTTATTTGATTTTTTTTCAGGACTTTAAAATGTATAAATTGTGATTTCATTTTTAGCCTCCATAATATTTTATTCTCTAAATGAAAAAATTTAATTCCTTGAAGAATTATTTGTGTTTTTCTGGTAGAAATAATATTTTGCTGTGGCTCCATCTCAGAGTTATTATAGTATTTGAAATTTCACAGGATGGTAAAATGTAAATTATGTATGTGAATATAATTAAACAAGGAAATTTAGATTTAAAATAACTTGTTTTTTCAAAACAAAGGTAATAGGTAAACCTATTTTGTTGCTGACTTTTTAAAAATTGCAGAATAGTATAATACAAGATAGATAAATATAGTTTGCCTTTTTTCCTTTGGATTGAATTTTCTAGCCATAATTTTGCTGCCACCCCCACAACCCCCACCCCCCATTTCTGTTATTTGGGTGTGTTTCAGCTTTCTCCCACAAGAGGGCAGAAAGGACTATTCAGCAGATAGCCTAAAAATGCCATTCAGTGTTTTCAAATTAGCTTCTCTTATATTAACAAAAAGGAGCATAATGGCCAAGTTATTGTTTGATTTACAGATAATTGGCATATTGCAGGGAGGAGACTTAATTTCACCCTTTTAAATTAAACAGGGAGATTTAAAAAGACATAAAATATTCATTAATGTTCGGTGATTATAAAGTAGTGGCATATATTTATTTTACCTTTATTACTGTTTCGATGGGAAAATACTGCAAATATTTCCGAAATCGAGTTGGCCATACTGACAAGTTGAAATGTTTAAGCAGCGTTAATGCAATCTGCTCACACCTGATATCCTATGCAGAATGATTCAAAATGACTACATCAATTATTAAAAGAAATATTTAAAATTCTGTAAATGTCCCATTGTGTGCCACAGTTGGCTGAAACTGTTCTCCATGGCCTGCTATTTAGATTATCAAATATATCTTAAGCTTCAAGGACTTAAAAACAGTTAATTTTTTTATACAATTTTTTAAATGTCATTTTAAAAATGTTCCAGAAATATTTTTGCCAAGACAGATAATCTCATGTATTCCTTGTCAAGAGTTTGGTTTCTTCTCCTTTTTTCTTTTTTTCCCTTTTTAATTTAAAATAATATTTTTAAATTATAGTTTGCTAGTAACAAATAAATGCAGTTGCTACTTATGTCACTTGCTTCTCTGTTAGTAGACAGCTCCACATAGGCTCTTTTAGTTTGTAAAACATAGATAAAGGATGTGGGTCACCTCTTTGGGCCTAGTTCTGTGACTTTTCTGCTTCAACTTGTGGAATGGATGGGGTGGTTTTAGGTGAAGGACAAGATGTTCTTATCTACAGCCATGCAATTTACAATGACACTTAAGTATGTACATTTTTTCTTGTTGCATGATTGGAAAGTTAGTTTGATGGCATCAAGATAAAAATATAATTGTGAAACAATTTTGTAGTTTTATTTTATAATGCTAGTATTGGTTTTTTATTAATATGAATGCTTACTATGCCATATATGCTAAATTGTAAATTAATCTCTGCCACCAGTTTCAGGAATTTCATTTCAGTATTAATAGGTCCAAGAATAAATTCTGACTAACATAATTGAGGGAAAGGAAAAAATGTTTGAAACACAAAACAAAAAATTCCTGGTCATTTTTTTTTTTTTAATTTTTGAAAGCCTTGCATTTTTAAAAGAAAGCTTTGCACTATTTTTCACCCTGAGGGAAATTTCTATTAAATAAAATAGAATTGAAAAAGGCACTATGATTTCAACTTTTACTTAGAACAAAGTAGATTTTTAAAAAATACTGAGTTAGAATATAGAAATAAAATGCAGTTTGAATTTCAAATAAACTATTCAATGACCATATGGTCATTGCAAGTAAGTGGTGATAAACCAAGAGTTGTACAAGTGTTTGTTCATTCTGGCTTTGTGGTCTGCTGCCTCACAATGCATGACTTGTGTCCTTTGGGTGCTCTAGATTTTAATTTAAGCCAGTTAGTTATTGAGGGTTTTCGTTTGATTTTGTTTTTATAAAGCTCTGTACAAATCCTTCCACTTACATTATCCTCCTAGTTGAGGAAAAAGCAGTGACAATATAAAAAGGTCAGAATGGAGAGAGTTACAAGTAGTCTTTTATCTTTTCCATTATGGCAAAACAGCTTATAAAATTCATCAATGAATGTGACAGTAACTTTGTGATAATCTGTCTTTTTTTTTACCTTTTTTGGGTCCTAAATTAGCTATTTGTCACACTTTAAAATTGTGAATTTTCTTAAACAGGCTTACCTTATTTTAATACATTTTTTTATGCTGAGAATTCAGATTTTTCAACAGTTTATTGTGCAGATTCTAGTAATTCTCACTAATGCTATTAAAGATCTGTGGTTACAAATGCACTTGGGATGGGTTAAATTAAGGGGAAAAAAAGATTGATTTGCTTTCAGCAAATCCAAAACCCAGGTGTGGAAAAGGATATGAAGTCCCTGAAATCAAGCCAACTTTTCTTGGAAACTGATTCTTTGTTATCGGTCTTACTACTGCAAAAGCTTCTGTTAGGTAAAATATTGTTTTCTTTGAATGTATTATATAAATTTAAGGAATATACACATGACCCAGAATAACAATAAGAAACCTAAGTATTCTTAGTGCAGAATCATGGAGTATTACTTATCTCTTATATCAAGAAGCATGATGCATAACTACTGGAATTATTTAAATCCTCTCCCAAGTTTCACTTTACCCCAGAATTCTCACTGCTCTTATTAATGTTGATTTAGTTCTTAATGGCATGAAAGGGGAAAATTGACAACCTGTAAAGATATATCTTAGGGAGTAGTAAAACATTTCAGTACTAGTACGACATTGTACAAACTAGTCATTAAGTGGGAAGCCATTAGAGTCGAATTAGTCAGGAACTGAAAGAACTAAATACATTATGCCAATCCTTAAAAATAATCTTGGTTACATAATCATGAAGTTAACTGATTCTGAACATTTGAACCTAATGTCAGAGTTTGTGTGTTGTGTTTATTATTTTTCTACTTGCTACTTTCTTAACTTGCTTTAGTAATGTCAAATATTTTGAACTATTTTCCTTTAATGCTGGTGGCCAGTAACAGTAATTAAAATATGTAGTCTTTTATAAATTGTGTTAATTATTGATATTCTAGTAGTGGGTTGAATATACATTCTTAACTAACATGGCCTTTCTGTAAATGTTTTAAGTATTGGGTGTTTTTTTGGTTTGTTTGTTTGTTTTCCAGTATGGGGAGGTTTGGGGTTGCTGGCACAGAACCGAAATAAGAGTAGGATAACTGAGAATGTGCATATGCAAGAGGGTAAATTAAGTTGTGTGCTTATTTAATTAAAAGTTTAAGTGGTTTGTTTTTACTGCAAGATAAATGGCATATATTGGATCAATTATAATGAACCAATTTAATTAACATATATTATAGTTTGATTTTTTAAAAATTTGAAATCATAAATGACATTTTAGCAAGAATGAAAGATAATTTCTTCGGCTACTGTGCAGTGAATTCAAGCTTTCAGAAAAGAAGATTATGTGTTTCTTTTAAATATGCATATATATTATTAGTTTCAAGTTGCATTTGGAAATGGAGATCTGTTGAAATCATACCACTTCAAATGAATAAATCAGTAGGGATCATTTTATAAATATTGAGGTTTCCTGTGATTCTTAATAAATTATCCCCTGAGGTAATAAATTTAATATTTATAATGCAGCTCTTTGGAACTGACAAGTCTTTATCCCCCTCTAGAAGTATTTTAGAATAATCTAAATTGGATATCTTTTTCGACCCATATAAGTATTTGTCTACCTACATTTCAAGAAGACAGAGGCAGTGAAATTTTAAGAATTAAGGATAGTCTTTAGCCTTTTGTTAGTTAAGATATGTGTATCAAACATCATAGCCAGCTACCTTTTATAATTTGTGATTTC